AAAAAAAAAAAAAAAAAAAAAAAAAAAAAAAAAAAAAAAAAAAAAAAAAAAAAAAAAAGACACGCAGAGCGGGGGAAGCTTCCTCTCTGTATAATTCGCAGGTCCAACATCAGTCTGCCGAGTGGTGGTTACAAACGAGCCATCGCCCGCTACCAGCGCAGTAGCTTGAGCACGTCCTGCAGCGCCGGTAGTCCGCCGGTAGGTTTTGTAGGTCTGGCGAGCCTCGACTACGACGACGGCAACGACGAGGAGGAAGAGGACGAGGAGGATGACGAGGACGGGGCGGGTTTTGCCGGCCGCCTCTACCCAACGACCGCCTCGACGACCTCCCAGTCGCTGGACAGTGCCGGGGTGACCGGTGCCCTCGTGGACGAAGAGGCCAAGATCGCAGCCGCTGCGGCCAGCAGACCCCGGAGCACTCGGGGCTCGCAAAAGTGGAGCAACGTGCGCGCGGTCATGGCGCTATACTCTTCGCTCAGAAAAATCAAGAGGTATCTTGCCGACCGGTGGTGGTAGTGATGATCCAGGCGCTGGTGGTCATACTCTACGGACACTCTTCACTTGACCCTGCAACCAACGTCTCTCTTTCTCTCTCTCCTACTCATTTTTTGTGTGCCTCTCTTCTCTCTTTTTTTTTTTTTTGATTGTCACTTTTTCTCTCTCTAAGCTCGATCCCTCTAATACTGATTGTATCAGAGCCTGGGGCACTTTCGCACACTTCGTTTTGCTCGATCTCTTGTCTTATATGTACAAGTTCATATATACAACATATATATATATATGTGTGTGTGTGTACTGATGATATATGTGTAACCTTTTAGCTAATGGTAGAGCTAATAAATATTGTCATCTTTACTGTACACACTTTATATAAATGTGCTCTAGATCTACATATAGCATACAATACGTGAAAGCCTAAGCGAACGTATCAGTTCTATTTTTTTTCCTTTCTGAATGAACGCATCACTTACGCAATGATAAAAGAGGTTTGAATATGAACTTAATGTATTTCTCTATTGTTAAACTCTGAATAATATTGTAATCTTTTTCATGAATGGTGATAAGCAAGCTCGCTGTTTCAATGATTGACTTTTGAGACTTTGTGTACTATGTGTTTAGTGTATACTTGACAAAGCTTGATAATAAGTTCAAGTTTCTTTGTTTCACGTTGTTTTAAAAATTGACATTTTGTAGCATCATATGTACGCACTGCTTGTGCCGAAATTTGATCAACGAGTCGATTTTTCATTCAATACCAGCGAGTGGGACGGAGCATCGAATATTTAATGGAAAAACCAGTAATTCACAATTAATTACATTAAAATTTTCAAGATGCATCAAAATTCTACGATTGCATTGACAAAACAAAATGTGTTTTAATTATAGATAATCTCAAAAAAGTATTATGTTTCGATGATTAACAGCAAACTAATACACCAAGGTCTTTATTATTTAGTAATTTTTGAAAATAGTTTACTCGTGTTTAATGAGTGCATTATTTTACAAGATGAACCTATACTTTACAAACTCCAACGTGACAAAAATAAACTGGCATGTTATACCAATGAATGATGATACGTAATTCAGAAAAAATTGTTGTTTGAAACCATTACAACTATATATAAAAATTTTTAAAAATATTTCTTTCTATGTGTATCTCTATATCTCTTACGTCACAACTGTTATATTGATGTTGCCTGAAGATTAACTTGGTCTCGTTCAAACTAAAACTCTACTTTTAACTTCATCTAAGCTGTAATGTAGGCTAGCCTCTGTCTGTCTGTCTGTTGCCTATCTCTCACTCACTTGATATTATCAAATAGCCAATCGATGTACTGAAAACTATTTCCGTTGTACAACTAGTAGTTGGCATTAAGAAAAAAAACCTTAAAAAAAGGAACTAAAAATAAATATCGCAACAACTTTTATTACATCTTGAAAAATTTTAAAAATATTACCCCCAAATTTTGAATTCAAATTTAGTTGGTAGATGTCTTGCAAATAATTAGTGCGAGAAATGACGTGAAAATAAAAAAATACTATTGTAATAATTTATTATTGATAATTAATCATCATTGAATGAAAGGAAAAAGGTTTAGAGCTAATTTAAACTGTGGCCTTTATCCTCTGAGCCAACGATTTGTATGTTAACTAATTTTGATTGCCCTTAAAAACTGTTAAATGTGTGAATTTTTAGACTATGTCACGAAAATGCAATATGAAAAAATCCAGAAATACGGACAACCCGAAATTGCATATAAATTTACATCTCAACCAAAGATGATGATCCTTCGTATATACTATTTTTTCACTTTGTTTCACAAAATTTCACACTACTGTTACGAAATGCATTGCAAGCTGTGCTGTGTCTACGTACTTACTACATACTATTCTTGTATAATCTTTCCTACGTATATATATCTACATCAATAATGTACAATCTTGTCTACTATAAATCTGAATGGAAGAAAAATCATGGTATGAATAATGTAGCTAAATCATTCAAACGATACCACGTGTCCAGTACACGACACCCTGTATGGTCTGAAATAACTGACCGATCACGGTTTGCACGTGCCATAGAGCTGCAAACAATGGTCCTGATAACTAAAAAAAAAAAAAAAAATTTTGGCACAGCTTAAATTAATGGTCCGTAAATTTTGCAGAACAAAAAGCAACCAGCGGTGGATGAAATTACGCACAACCGTCCAGCTGTCCTCTGCAATCTCGACGATCCAGAAGAAGCCGCCGCTCAAGCGCGAGGACTCGTTCCTCAAGCGCTTCTCGACGCGCCAGATACCCGAGAGCCAGGAGACGATAGACACGGGCGAGGGCGACCAATCGGACGAAAAGAGCTCGAGCCGCCGCCACCGCAGACCCCGCCGGCCCCAAAAACCCCCCAAGACCGTGGTCAACCCCGACGAGAACTTTTACTACTATTGGCTGATGCTCCTCTCGGGCTGCGTTCTCTACAACCTCTGGACCCTCATAGTGCGCCAGAGCATGCCCGAGCTCCAGGAGGCCGCGCCCGTGGTCTGGCTCAGCTGCGACGGCTTCACCGACCTCGTGTTCGCCCTCGACGTTGGGGTCCAGTTTCGCACGGGTTACCTCGAACAGGGCCTCATGGTCTACAACAGCAAGAAACTCGCCGGCCATTACTTCCGCTCCAAGTCGTTCGCCCTCGACCTCTTCGCCCTCCTGCCCCTCGACCTCCTCCAGGTCAACCTCGGCAGCAATCCCATACTCCGGTTTCCCAGGTTCCTCAAGGTCTACCGGGTCTACAACTACTACTACATGGTGGAGTCGCGCACCGTGTACCCCAACCTTTGGCGGGTCATCAACCTCATACACATACTGTTGATACTGGCCCACTGGTTCGGTTGTTTTTACTACCTGCTCAGCGAGGCCGAGGGCTTTCACGGGGACTGGGTCTATCCGTACAGGCCCGGCGAGTACGCGACTCTCACGCGCAAGTACCTCGGCTCGCTATACTGGTCGACCCTCACGCTCACCACCATCGGTGACCTGCCTACACCGGAGACCAACGCCGAGTGAGTGTTTCTTTTTTTTTTTTTTTTTTTTTTTTTTTCGTTTCAACTCATGTTTACTCGTGCTCTTACTCTTGCCCAAGTTGATCTCGGCAACTTCAATCGGGACAAACGTATGTATATCTACGTATTCGTCCCCCCAAGTCGCTCGGAACAGCTTTGGGCTGCATAAAAGAGCGAAATTGCCAAGTCAACCTCTTTTGTAAATGATATCTTATGATTGTTTGAGTTCCACACACCATGTTTATAAATAACTTTGTTGTCGTTGTTGTTGTCATTATTTTTCAATTTGTCCCGTAATATGTCGTGGAACGTACAATGTGAAACTTAAGAGGGAATGGAATATATTCAAATAAAGGCGAAAGAAAACAAAAAAAAAAAAAAAAAATGGAAGGGGTGTTGTTACATTATGAGTTGTAAACGTTTACGTGTTACATGTTACGCTGCTGACAGACGAGACTTTTAGAGTGAAAAATAGCATTTCGCAAGCTTTTTTCGTAATGTTGTACGGCTTCGATGTACTATTAATTTGTCTAAATTTGCACTTAACTACAATAGTATCCTCGTAAAATATTTAGGTTTTTTTAAAGTCACGACAGTAATGTTTTTTTTCGAACTTTTCAATATTTCTTGATACCATTTTCTCCCTTCTCTTTTTTCTTTTTATCTTTGACGTAAATGAGAATGAACAGATGACTTTTATTGGGCTTTTTGTACATACACGCCTAAATACGTATTTAACAGCTTAAAAATCTACTAAATGTAAATAAGCAATTGTAATAAGTGAACGGAGGACCAAAGTTTTATTTAATTTTGTTGTTGTACATAATAAGAGATTTCGAAATTGAATAGATGTGCTTTTATATTGGACTCCAAAAGCCATTGGAGCCACAGTCACGTTTTCAATTTGGAAGTGTAATTGAACGTTAAAGTTACCACGAACCACTTGAATTTTGTATAAATCAGGCTTTTATCGTTGTTTTAATCCCATGAAAAAATTTTACTTTCTCTATTTAAATATCAATGATTACCAGTAGGAAATATTTTTGTTCGTTTAGCTAATGGTTTTTTTTACCATTTGGCACTCGAACCATTTTTATCGTCCCTGTTAAGTAAAGTACGTATTATTGTGGAAAAGTGAATTTTCAATAGCAACAGTATACTCTACACAAATAATAAAAATAAAATGGTAAGATATTTCAAAATGTTTGCAAAGTGTTTCTTTAACAGTATGATCCGTACTTGTGCGAAAATTCCTCCCTCCAGATTTATATAAGACACGCATGAAATACTCGCAGAGATGATTAATTCGAAACTATACCTCAGATACGTGGATGCTGTAGTTCAAGTCAAAATTCGAGTAATTCGAGAGGCTCTTTTGACAAGGGTATAATCGTATTTTGTAATAACTTTGTTTTTTGAAAATGTGTTTGAATAATTTTTAATTTCCTGCATCAATCGCAATATTTTAAAATGAAAAAGAAGAAAAGGTAACAAATGGTTACAGTTACTCTGAAATTAAATAAAATACAACGTATGGAGCGGTGTTTATTTATATTTTTTCAGTTAAGATTCGTAGACCAGAAAAGTGCATAAAAATCGTTGTCTTAGTATCCATTACTAACATACATTGAAATAGTCAGAGCAATATCATGTTGACCTTCATTGGTTTTAAACAAGTGACGTAAAAAGATATTCGGAAAAAGTTTACGTGTTCCATTGTCTCTTAAGTATCTCATTAAACGAAAAAAAAAAAAAAAAAAAATTAGTAAGATGCACAAATATGGGAATTAGAAATCGTGAGCGGAGTGTTGTTGTTGTGTTGGCAGAGCTGTAGCGGGCGGCAATCCCCGGAGCCTCGCTCGTCGCGGCCGACTGTCCCGGCTCCTGCAGTTCAAACATGACGGAGGGTATCTGTATCGTTCTAAAAAAAATTATAATTGAAAATGATAATAGTCCTCAAAACCATAACCACGAATACATGCTTGACGATTGCTTTTTTTGTTCCTTCCTAAACTTGTATGATAAAAAAAAAGGAAAAAAACACGTGTTTCAGATGATCTGGTCAAACGGTTGGACGTAAATAAACAAGTTTATTAAATAAAATACATCAAGATATGTTTAATTAAGTTGCTTGAACATGTTTTAATTTCTGTACCAACATTAAAAGTACTGGAAAAATGAAGGATATAGTTGCAGCCCTATTCTACTGATCTCTTCCTTTTGACATTATTATTTTTTTTTATATATTATTGTTAGTTTTTTTTTTTTATGAAAGCTTTTGAGGCCTTAGAGACTCATTTTAGCTCTCTTGGCATGATTTGATACAAACCTTTTTTTTACGAACAATGAAATATACAAACAATTACTTTATTCGTTAACTAATAATAACCACACATACAGTGATTGAGCTACGAAATTTTTTTTAAAAAGTCTTTAAACTTCCACAAAAAAAAATCACTAACAGTTTTTACGGGTCACGCGTGCCTGCAGAATAAGGCGGATGTGCGTGGAGATATTTCATACTATACGAGCTACTGAGTAGTACTGATTGCGTGTCAGATAATGAACGAATGAATTTAAGTTGAATCAAGTGAAATCTCTAAAGATTCTTTGATTTCATTCGTTTTAATCATTTAATTGAAAAATTTATTGATTCGTGATATCACAGTTGTTCGCCTGCAACAAGCCATCATGCCCTGGGTTGGAAAAACAAAAATGTTGGTAATGATGATTTGTCCCCGGATTACTTGAGATACGTTACTTTTATTTGTTTAATGCTTTAATTCGTTTTTCTTACGTATCCAGACACATGAAAGTTGTCCTCACGTAAAAGTCAGAATCTCGATGTGTCCGTCTGATACATACCCAATTTCATATTTTCCCTATTTTACGTAATTATTTAACTAACTATAGATAAAACTTATAGTTACTTCGAAACGGCTTCGATTCGTGTGTTTCAAATTATTTGGTAATATTATCTTGCCATACAGTCTGCTGGTCCATAAATAAATTTGCTCAAATCAATCAATCAATTTACCCGTGCCTCTCCAATTCTAACTCTCCTATCTTTGTACTATAATATAGAAGATGTAGGGAGAGATGTACAGAGACATTGATTGATATTAGCCTCATCAATTCCAACCGTAGATCGAATGGCAATAGATTAGCATACCCCATGCAAAGGAGAAGAAACAGATTGCCTACATAAAATATCTTACGTATGTATATTTTGTAAGCACTTTTTGTTTTCTCATTTAAACGTTAGCTCAATTTTTTATGCGAATGTGAAATATGATATCTAACTTACCTCGACAAATTCAAGCTCAAAGACGACTTATCACATTATCAAGAGTACTAGCGCCGTACCATTCCTTGTTTAGCTTACGGGGCTAGAGTAACACACACATGTACTCTTAGACAGGGTCCGGTACCTGGCAAAATGAAGATCTACGCTGATGATCAAATTATTCACGCGTGTTGAGCGATTAATTGCGTGTTCCCAAAATGCAGGTCACACGTATATGTGTACACACATAAACGTAAAAACAACGAAAGAGCATCAGCGACCCAGTGGCCTCGAAAATTCTCTCACCCCTGCGTATTGAATATATGTCTCTCTCTCTCTCTCCCTCTTTTGCGTTTTTCTGTCACTTTACCGATACTCAAATTAGACACTTGGTAAAATTTAATCCACAACTTGTAAAATTGTCACTGCTGTTGAGATTGTCATTTTCATTAAATTTTGTGTATTTCTCTCACAGGTACTTGCCATATTGGGACCTTTTACGTCTTTGGCATGAATAAATTCGATAATAATCAATCCCTCTTGGAAGCTTAGTGTGTTATCGCGGTAGCGTGGCTAGCAAAATCCTAATAAAAGATAGTGCCCAACGCAAAGGATGAGGGAGAGAGGGAGGGAGAGAGAACGGGGGAGGACGTTGATAAGAAAAAGTCAGTAAGAAATAGTAGTAGGTCGCTGGTTGAAATACAGCCAAGAGATGGATGGACGCAGTTGGTGGAGGAAAATAGTTGGAACTAAGGATGTACATGTGTATTCAGGGAAGAAGCTCCGAATAGTGAGTGTTCGTGCGAGGGGTGGGAAAAACGTGTGGGTGAGAGACTGAGGATCGCTGTGGCCATTAGAAAACAGAGTAAGAAGAGGAATGCGGACGAGCGAGAAAAGTGGCAGTGTGTCTCTACGCCCCCCCCTCTCTCTCTCCCTTTTTCTCTTATCTGCTCCATCGACTCTTGCCGATGGTTTTCTTTTCCCTCCTACGTTTTATCGTGCCTCGATTCTCATTGTCGCTCTTCTCTCGACCTATCGGTTTGAAAAATTGTGAGAAATGAGTGCCGATGGTCCCTTGCACCAAGCTACTCTCACTTGCTCCTCAATTCAATGGTTCGAATCAAGAGCAGCCTTACAGCCCGATCGATAAGGCCAAAATCACGGCGGGTAATTCAATCCGATGTTACGTTTCGTTTGAGGTGGTAACTAGATTTTTTGCTCCCATATGTTTGGGATTAAATGTAAACTCCAAGACGACACTTTAATTATACAGAGGGCAAACAACTTTTTGGCCACCGAGTACGATCGGCAGATGTCACGAGCAGAGGGACGCTAACAAGAAAGTTGCTGTGAAAGTTCAAAATTAAACGCTCTCCGCAGCCAATCTCTCGAGAACTTTTTCAGGGAGAACTTACATCCGACCTCCACTGATGCAGCGGATTAACCTGACGAAGCGAGTGTAAGGACAATGGGCCATGAGATCGCGAGATTATTTGAGACGCAAGATCGGGACGTGAGGAAAACTCACTCGAAGATTTTCATCGGAGAGGTTTTTCAAGGGGGTTGTGAAAAAAAAAGGCTAGAAGATTATGGTGCACCATCTGTGCAACAATATTTCACGAATCAGATTTTTTGTCATCTGTATTTCGTTCTATTCGAAAATTTTGACAATCTTGTGTAGTGGATAGATGAAAATTCATGGAAGTAGATGTTGAAAGAATGAAAAAAAAGTAGTTGAAAAATTGGGGAAATGTGTGATTCTCTGAAATTTTTCTGAACAGTCGGTAAGTTTGGCACGAGCCTTTTTTCTTGAGAGAAGAAATGGGGGATTTTTTTTTTTCAAGAAAAAGGATACTTTTACCCGTTTGAACCGCAGATTTTATTATTAATGGATTTCGCTTGCATTTCTCATAATAATATTGAACTTACTAACATTAGATATTCGTAAGTATTATAATTATTACATACAAGGCATATAATTTGCGAGTCCAGTATCACATCACAGGGATTTTATTTCATGTTTTTATATTTTCACGTTGCCTAGGAATGAGGGATGGTAAAAGAAATTAAATCCTCTTGAAAAAACGTTACCATCCAATCCTTTATTCATTTGTACGGATTTTTCCAAATGCAACGAGTATTTTAATTTAGTACTAGAATAAATAAATGTCTCAAACTACTTACTAAGATCCTTCAAACGATAAAAACGCTATGAAAATTATATTTTAAGAGATTAATATCAATCAATTTACGCAAGCAAACATGTACACATGAATGCCAGTTTACTGCCATCTTTTTGTGGCTCAACGTCTATTCACGCGATTACATCCCTCCACTTTAAAATCAGCGAGGAAGAATAAACTGCAGCTGTATTATAAGTATATGCGTGTGTGTCGAGACGGAAGGACGTGCGAGATACGCGACTCCCATGCCGATATCGGATTGAAACCGGAGGAGGAGGAGGGCGAAGGTTATTTGTCAAGCGATAGATCTCAGCGAGCATGCGACTATTCGTATGCAGGCTGGGAGCGCGATAAATACAACCATATAGAGTATCGAGGGAGGATTGGATTTCAAGCCATCGAAAAAGAGAGATTTTATGATATCTTGCTAAACTGCGTCGATGGAAGATTTTTTTTCTAGTTTTCTGTTTATCTGATGTCTATTTTCACACGAATTCAAAGAAGAGACGATATTGCACATAGTTTTGATGTTACATGACGGTGGTATTTTTAGAGTTTCTTGAAGGTACGAGTAAGCGAAATACCAAGCCGATTTTCCGCCTCGCTGGCTTTTCCTCATCTCGTAAATTTTAATTGAATTTTTTTGAGTACATCCTATAACGTTGCATAGCGGCAAAGAGAGCGAGAGGATTCACGTAGTTTACGTCTTGTTTTTCAAACAATCAACATTGAAAACGAATTTTTATTTTTCCTCCCAGTTTCGCGACTTGACAAATTTATCTGAACCTTTATAATCATTGGTGAAATATTCACAGGAGCACCAAACCGCCTTCAATTAAATAAAAAGTGCTGGTAAATTTGCAAAGTGATTCCATTGAGATGAAGTATTTGTAGAACAGTCAAGAAAAATCGATATTTCCTAATGACATCTGGAAATGTACATTAAATCCAATTTAAATTGAGTAAGGAACCGTGTCTTCGGCGTCTGAATTGATGTAAAGGCACTTGGAATTAAATTCGGAACGAAAAGTCTCTCGATCGCGATCTATTTTCTGAAAATATCGACGAGCAAGCACTTTTTTGCTCCAATTACGAGCATATCCAGCCTACTGTCTCTATTCCTCAAAAATACATCGGTAGTTATATTTTTACCATTTTTGGATAATTCCACGCCCAAAAAAAAAAAACAAACTTCGCGTGAACCGTAATAGAATATACGTGACAAACATTATACATAGATAGAATCAAAACATTGATGGGTACTCGACATCTCCTGCCCAACTCGATCAAAACCTCATTTCCGACAGAGCGAGTCCTAGCTTTGTTAGAACGAAAACTGCTCCTTTCACCAAGAAGACAAAAAAAAAAAAAAAAAAAAAAAGAATAACATTCGGGGGCGTTCGAAGTTTCTCGGTAGAATCGATATCTGGAGAATTCA